TTCACATTTTCTGTATTTGCGTAGACTCTGAGGGCTGTGATTTTGAACCCAACAGCCTCTCTCCAAACCTCTCCAACACAAAAGCGCCCACCTGAACACATTATTTAATTTTTCTTATTTAAGTCCTTTATCACCTTACACGAAATAGGGTGAATACATCTCACATTATTCCATTGCAACCGGAACTAGGGTGAGCACAGTGCTCATTCTCAAAAGTGAATTTCAACATATGTTGTGCCTTTCCAACATTCCGCCTGTATTGTGTGATTTTGACTGTGGCAACTCTATCTTTTCGTCCGAGTCGCAAACACTACTTATATTCGAAATGAGTAGGTTTAACAAAGAGCCCAGTAGGCGCATCTCGAAGCACCGAAATTGGGAAATTTCACGCAACCGGGGTAAGAGCAGGGCAGCGAAAATTGGGCAATTAAAAAGTGGGAAAGCTGGCAATCAGCGTGGGCTCTGCTGTAGCGAGTGCCGGGCGGCCAAGTCATCAGGCCTCGACGACGGCTGCAGCTGCAAGTAGGTGGTTAGACAACATTTTCATCCACACAAAAAGGGTGGATCGGAGAGACAATTTGTCTCCAAGTGAGTCAACATGATGAGACTTGGTGGTGAACATGGACTCACCATTCCCCGACTGGACTGTTCAGAGACGCCGCCGAGCCGGAGCCGTTGAGGCGCCAGTCGGCGCGAAGAAAGCCGTTTTCTGCCGGTTGGTACGACGAGGTGAGTAGTATCTTGGCCATGCTGGCCACTTGTTGGCGCAACTTGACGACCTCCTCTTCGAGGCAGACAATCCGATTGCGGCAGGAGCATCTGCACTCCTCCACTTGCCTGCTTCTGCTGTCGCAACTTCGAATGGCCAAAAGCCCGCTGCCGGCCTCGCGCGGAGCTTTGGTCGACTTGGCGACGTCGCGTCGCGACTCGGACGAACCAGCCTCCGAGCCGGCTGAGTCCACCGAGTCCGCGCCGACTTCCGGCAGAGATTCGGCGTCTTGAACCAGCTCAACAATCACCTCATGACTCCTCGAGCCGACAAGAGCCGACGGCCTCGGCAGATGAAACAACGTCGGCTCCGTCTCCGTGACGGTCGTGATGATGGGCGATTTTAGCATTGTTGTTGTCGTCGCTGTTGATGATGATGATGATGATGTTGTTGTTGTTGTTGTTGTTGTTGTTTTTGTCCGTTTTTTCGGTTCACAGTTGCTGCTTTCCGGCAGCGAAAAGCAGGCGACCGGCTGCCAGAGTGGCTCTGCTTTGCGATCTGAGCGCTTTTTGCTCGCGGGACTGTCGTTGGTCAGCTTGAACGATCTCGTCGAGGCGGGATCCGTCTCCTTGCGGTGGATGTAGATGATTTTCGGATAATCCTTGGGCGGCAGACCGTCGGTTGGCATGTGCTCGATCGACTGGCACGAGCCGTAGCGCGGCAACATGGCGTGTGAACTGGACAGGGCCGACGGCTTGCTGGAGGAGCGGTCGAGTCGGATGGGAGGTCGCTGATGGCAGCGTTCGCGGTCTTTCGTTGGATCCAATTGAGATGTCGGCATTTTCAACCGGAAGTGGCTACCGAAACAGACACCACGCTTGCCAGCTCATCAATCCAGACGATGCCTGTTGGACGATGGCCAGTCTGAAATGGAAAAGAGTCAACTGACACGACTCGAATAGACTCAAGGCTGGGATATTTTGGGGGAAAAAAGCTTTGAACATGGGATTTGAGTTCACTTAACCCTGTTTGACTCGAATTTTCCTTTAGAACAAAAAGTCGGCTGGAGCAAATTGGTAAATTGGCCTTGCCGAAAACTGAATGATGACGGCGGATTGTTCGAAGAATTCCTCGGCTTACCAGCTCGCCAAACCGATGATGACAAACGGAGGCTTGGCCCGAGTTCATCGGCTGTCGCAGGACGGTGAACCGATGACTTGATCGTAGTCTGTACTTCGCTTCGGGTCGGACCTTTGTGTGAATTTCTTTAGACCAACTTTGTCGTTGAAATGAAACTCGAAGCAACAGGGGACATTTCGAAGCCCACTCTTTTGATATTCCCCCACTTCTGCATTCCCATAAAGTAGGCACATCTCGTCTGGACTGAATAGTAGTTTACAACTTGTTCGATATGAGAGGCCTAATCGTGGAAAAATTCATCTATCAGTCCCTTAAATACCGTGTTTCCACGAAAAGTAACTCGGTGACATTGCTGTGGAGAATTTCATTCTGTATGAAATTGCCTGAAAACGACGTTCTGCCTTTAGTCCATGTGACGAGCTGAACTTTAGTCCATCTTCGTGATTTAGTATTAGACTTGATGCATTTTTAAGAATGAGCTCCAGCTCGGACAATGACGATGATGATGGCGAGCTGGAGGAGAAGGAGAATAGATCAGACTGCTTCAACCGGAGGTTTCATGGGCCTTGTCAACCTGAGATCTGCCTACAAATACCTCCATCAGGCACTTCCATACGAAATGAATGACTAAACTGCATCACTTTAAATGACCTCGAAAAACCATGGAGCTTATTGAACATCTTTCGATAGTCTCGAAATCTACGATAATGAGTACAAGTTTTAGAATGGAGCCCAGGTTGCTTAAGGTGATTAACTCGTGATAAATTAGTTTTTCCAACAGTCAGATAAGACAGCCTAGCGATGCCATTAAAGTTCATTTGGACCTTACTTCTCAAAAGGCCAACCATTCAGGCACCATCAACTGAATGCTCCCTTGAAATCACTCAAAAGAAAGAAAGAAAGAAAGAAAT